TCAACCCAAGAGGAATCAGAAGATCAAAAGCAGTTTGGGAAGGCCAGAACCGTCAGGGTAGAGGGAGAAGGACGGTCCAGGGGGTGGGGAGGACATTTGGCAACTGGGGTGAAGGGATTACCCTCCCCCTGCTGGGATCCCCCCAGCCCCTCAGGTCTGGCAGGAAAGGGGCAGCCTGCAACACCCATGAGCAGGTCTGGGGCTGCTAGATGCTCCAGGCAGGGGGCTGGAGGTGGCTCACAAAGGCTTGCCCTCCAGGGAGATGACGGCACTGCCACCTAGTTTCTCTGCCAGGGTGCAGCGGTCCTTGACCTCCTCGTAGCAGTTTGCTTGTAATTCATGCTTGATTCCTACAGAGAAAGAACAGTGAGCAGAGGACTGGGAAGCAGCCCTCAGAGCAGGAGGCGCCACCCAGCAGGCAGAATGGAGGACCCTGTTATCATCATCTGTTCTCCACAGCAGTCATACAAAGAAGGAACCCTTACCTGTCAGCTTCTTCTTGATGGCATCCTTGGAACTGGCGTAGATCATTTTGCTCTTAAGGGGTGCACTCTCAGGGGCCCTGAAGACAAAGCCAGAAAACTGCTGCAGCTACCCCCAGACAACGGGTGACTCAAGAAAAGAACCCTATGGGTGTTCCACAGTGGGTTCCCCCACCCCCATGTTCCTCATTAGTTTGTTACAGCCCTGACCCCAAACCTAGAATGATTTCTGCTAAGCTCTCCTAAGAGAGGGAAGAGGTGGCAGGCAAGAGAGCTTGACTAATGAGCTCACCAGAAGATGAACACCAGGTCCTCCTTCTTGCTCTCCTTGGTCTCGTAGGTGGCATCGTAGAGAGCGTAGCGGCAGTCCTTGTCTGGCAGCATCTTGACAAAGGTGGTGTAGGGGTCGTCCACAGTCTGCCCCACATCTCCTACCAGGATCTCCTTGCCCTCCTCCAGGATGATGTTCTTCTTGTCCTCACTCAGGCAGAAGAGCACCGCCTTCTTGCGTTTCTTCACTTCTTCTGGCGTCGAAGACTTGCGCACTTTCATGTCATTGAACACCTTGATGACACCATCAGAGACAGCCACACCAGAGGCCTGAAGGACGAGCCAAATAATACACCTTGTGAGGGAAAGGATTCTGGGGTATTCTCTCCAGTTACAGGAAACCTCAGCCAGAACACCAAGAGAGCTAGCTCTCAGCCCCACAGAGCTAGTAATGTCCCTGCAGACACAAGATGCTGCCACCCCCCCCATTCATCACCTAAGGACTAGTTGGGACAAACCCCCTGCAAGTGAGAAAATCAATTATCTAGTTCAACACTGGCATTAAAGGTTAGAAACAGCATTTGTTAAAAGAAACATAGCCAGGAGTGGTGGAACATGTCTTTCTTGAGTTCCAGGACATTCAGAGTGAAAGTTTCTCTGTCTCAAACAAAACAAAGCAAAACAAACAAACAAAAACCCCAACCAAACAAAAAAACGTAAGAGAAAACAAAAACCATTGAGGACTGCTGGGTTGTGAACAACAAAGGCAAAGAATCTGAAAGCTACTGACTGGGTTGACACCACTCAGCCGTTAGATTAAAATGCAGACTTAGATACAAAAGATCGAGCACTTGGGCCATAGACTCATCTTCAGGGAAGAGGGGCTCAAAACTTCACAAAGACAACAACAGTTGCTGCTCAACAGTTCATTAAGTCCACAAAGCCTTCAACGCAGCCATGGCATAAACGACACTGCCCTGCCAAGAGCTCCCAGACACGAGAATTACAGCCCCTAATTAGTGCCTTGTTGGACAACTCCCTACCATCCAAGAGTGGTTTAGATTTAGAGTCCTAAAGATCACTGACAAATTAATAGGTCAAGCTGTAGTGCCCAAATCGCCAAAACTTTCTACTTTGTATGGCCCTGGGGGACGACCCAATCAGAAATGTGTAACCAACCCCCCAACCATGGAACTGCAGAGGAAGCTAGCCACGTGATTCACCCGCTTCCGGAGTAGGCGGGGAAAGGAGATTGGTTTAGGCGCAAGGCCTCCCCAAGAGACACTCGTATCCCAGAGGCGGCAGGACCTACGATGTCTCAAAGCCTAAAGATCGCTTTTAGGAATAGGCGTAAGGCCGTCAGCTTTAAGAGGTAGCACGGGCCATTCACACAAGCATCAGTTTTCCAGGCCCTCAGGCTGAACATGAGAGCTGGGTGGCTTCCGGGCGGTACCCGCCTGGGTCACTTCCCTAAACGCGGCTCCACCCTCGGCCCCATCCGGCACAGTCAAAGGCCTAGCTCGTCCAACGCAGAGGCCGGGATGGCAGGGCCCAAGCCTGTGCGCACGCGCTGCTGAACAGCGCCGTTCCAGCCCTAGTCCGAAGTAGAGTGAACAGAAGGCTGTGTAATCGCTCTTTCTAGAACAGGGGTTAAAGCCTGGCTAGGACCCGCTCTACTAGCGGTGCAAGGTCCTGGTCTCAGGAGCCGGTGCCTCAACCCTAGCATCTCCCCCCTCAGCCAAGTTGCCCCCGCCCCTCCCAGACGGCGGCATCCCTGCCACCTGCTGTGGAGACAAACCCATCAGCAGAGGGAGGGTGATGCGAGAAAAGGAACAGCCCTTGGGTGGGGCGCGCGCCGACATCTCGCGCGCGCTTTTCCCTAGCGGCCCCGGGGCAAGGTTTGGATGCCGCGTGCCCTAGTCCAGCGCGCGCCATCGAGAAACGGCGAGCGTTGCCCGAGGCTCTGCACACTGGACCCCTCCCCCACGGCCAGTGTCCGCGCGGGCGCAAAAGCCGAATGGGGGTGGGGAAAGGAGCCAGGGGGCGCGCGAGCGACGTCCGAAATCGGCCCTTCCCAGCGCCCACGGGCGCGCACGCGCGGCCTGCCCTTCAAGGCAAGACCCTTAGTCTCGCTCGGGGCGCTGGGGGAGGGGATACTGAGAACGCTTCTCTGCCGCCCCCACCCCACCCGGCGCGCAAGCCACTGATCACGAAACCGCCACCCTCGGGCACAGTGGCCTAGTGCTCACCATATTTCCGGAAGCGAAAGGGAGACGGGGAGAGCTACAGAAGAACTGAGCCGCCGCAGCTGCTACCGGGATCCGACTGAACGCGGCCTCTCCCGGCCCCTTCCGTTTAGTAGGAGCCGCACAATGAGGGGCGGGGCGAGCTTCCGGCGCTCGCCGCGCGGGCCGACGGGAAATGAAGTCCCAGGATTTTGCACCGAAAGGGAGTTAGCCGCTCCGGGGTTCCGCAGAGCCTGAGGCTCGGGAGAGTAGGCGAGGCCGAGAGGCGGGGCTGTTGCACGGAGCGTGAGCCCATTGGTGCGCTGGACCAGGAAACGCTCTTAGCTGAGCAGAGGCCCATCGCTTGATAAGATGACCTGAAAATAATTCTGTCCTGAGTCTCTATTTATTCCCGAATGAAGTGATTTTTGGTTACTTATGGTTCCTGATGATCAGGGCTTTACTTTTCTGAATCACTGGCTTGGAATCCGCTTGGATCGCCAAGTACAACGATGTCTTCAAGCCAGTAGGCTTGCTTCACTAAAGCGTGCCTCCATGTGGAAAGTCACTGTGACTCCTAAGAGGTCGTATGAAATTTCAACAAAAAGGATAGGATTTTAACAAACTGAAAATGTTACAATAAAAAGTTTGAGAGCTTTGGTTTTGTTAAAGACATTTGGCAAATTCTCGGGTCAAACGTAATTCATGGGGGAAGGGTGGAGAATTGTGTATTAAAGACTTCTTTACATTTCCTTTTCCAGGCGATGAGAAAAGGAATACTTATTTGAACTTAGCTCTCGAGTTGATAAGTTTATGGTTATTTTGACACAAAAACTGAGACAATCTGAGAGCAAGGGCTTAAAATAAACTGGGGTGGGAACTCCAGGTACATTTCTTTGACCTCGAACAATGATCATGGTCTCACACTCTGCAGGAAAAGAGGACAAGATCGCGAGGAAGTTAGAGGCGAAAGAAATTGTGTCCCTTGACCTCCCCATAAGCCGAATAAAGGGTGTAAGGGAGGAGCAACCCGGGGAGTGAGGCATGCCGGGGGTTGTAGTCAGAAGCCTCCCGCTGCACTTAAAGATTGAGCAGCTGAGCTCCAGGTGGAGGCCAAAGCTTGACCCCTCTCGCCCAAGTGCCCCGCCTAAAGAAAAGGCTAGCTCCACCTTTTACGAGCCTCGCGGTTTCCCAGAGCAACGGGGGGTGGGGCCACGCAGTTACCCTGGAGACGCGCTCCTTCCGCCCCCGGCCGCGGGTTGCCCTAGATGTCCTTATTAGGGAATGAGACTCCAGGGGGCGTGCCCAGCCCGAGCGCCAGCTTCAGGCTCCTTATAAGGCTGCCTGAGGAAGGCGGAGGGCGCGGAAAGCTCGACTGTGGAGAGGGTCTGTCAGTGCCGCGGCCGACGACTTCCGGCATGACAGCTGGAGAGCGTGGGCTGTTCCAATCCCTGAAGAGACCCCTGTGCTGTATTGATCGTTGTGTGCCTCAACCCGAGCTGTCCGTCCCCTCACACAGTGCCCACCTTAAACCTCCCTGGGGCTCCTCCGCTTTGAATGAGCCGCAAGAGCCAAGGATCCAACCGTGTGCCTACTTTCGACCTCCACACCTGCCAGCGTGCACCTCACAACACACACGCCCTCGCTGTTCCTTTAGCCTGAGCCTTCTGTGTGCATCCCCGACTTTGCACCCTCGCATTTCGAGATCTCTCTGCTACACCTGCTTTACTTTTATTTCGTCCCTTGCATCCCTTCATAGATGTCTCTCCCACAGATATTCTGCACTTGCGTCCGACCCTCTCCCCCACTCTTCTCAAGTCCTCTTTTTCCAGCCTCTCCTGAAATAGCCTTTTGAGACCTTGAAGCAAGCCAAATTCAGGCTCCTATGTGCCTCCCCAGCCAGCCCTCCCGGTCACAGGGGGCGCTGTCCATCTTTTTAATTGTCAGCACAAAATGATCCTACTCTCAATTTCGGGATGAGAGGAAGGGGTGGGCCAAAGCTCCATAGCCTGGGTGGGGCCTGTCCAAAGGGCTGGTGCGGGAGGGGGGAACGAGGGCGGTTCGATGGGAAAGATGGTACGGACCTAACTTCTCTCCGGCCTCTTATTGTGTAATATAGGGGAGGTAGGGGATTCCTAGAGCCAGTGGCCCTGCTCTGGTTAGAGAGGTCCTACTCTCAATCACGTGTTCCTATACCAATTGCAGAACTGTCGGGGTCCCAATCTCAGGGTATTTTTGAGATTCCAAAAGAGCCAGTCTAGATCTGATGGCGGCACCGGTCCGATTGGGCCGGAAGCGCCCGCTGCCGGTTTGCCCCAATCCACTCTTCGTTCGTTGGCTGACTGAGTGGCGGGATGAGGCAGCCAGCAGAGGGCGCCACACGCGCTTTGTGTTTCAAAAGGTGAGTCCCAGCTGGGTCTTCTGGAGACAGGACCCAGATGATCCATGTATCCGAGCGTGATGAGTTCCTTTCTCCCTCATGCTCCCCAGGCACTGCGCTCCCTCCGACGGTACCCGCTACCTCTGCGCAGCGGGAAGGAAGCCAAGATCCTTCAGCACTTCGGAGACAGGCTCTGCCGGATGCTGGACGAGCGGCTGAAGCAGCACCTAGCATCAGGCGGTGAGCGCCTCCGGAAGTTGGTGATCCCTAAATTTCCCGGGTGCAGGCTGTGTCTACCTTGGCTTCAAATTCTCCGCTCTCAGTGTAGTTGCTGTTGGACGCAGGGCTAATGATTGCCGCTCCTTTAGCCTCGTAGTTCCCATGTACGAAGCTAGCCAACTGAGACCGGGTGGGTGGCGTTATGAAACAAGCCTGTAATCCCAGCATTTAGGAGGTGGGGGTAACAGGATCAGGAATTCAAGGGTAGCCTAGGCTACTTGAGACTGTCTCAAAAATGTCAGGGGGAGGCGCATGATGATGCATGCTTTTATCCCAACACTCAAAGGAGGAAGAGGCAGGAGAATCTTATGAGTTCGAGGCCAACAAGGACATCACCCATTAACACCCAGGGGATCTAGCCCCCACTTCTGGCCTCTTCTGGCATTGCACGTCAGTAATGCACAGACATGCACTGACCAAACACTCCTATACATACAAAAAAACAAAATGTTTTTTAAATATGACACCAAAATTCACAAAGTGAGCAGAAGCATCCAGGCTCCTCCTGGCATCCAAATTGGGTGCAGGACTGACTTCTGTTCTCTGCAGGTGACCATGCCCCCGGCCTACCACCTGGAGAGAAGAATCAAGCCAGTGAAGAGCCACCTGCTCAAGGCCAGGACTCTCCTGTGCCAGTGAGGACTGGGGAAGGGAGTGGAAAGCTGAATGGGAGGGTTGAGAGTAGGACTTCCTGGTCTGAGGGGCTTAACAGCCCTGTGTCCAGCTCTTCTGGATTTAGAGAGGCCCGGGACAGCTTCTTTTTACCCTCTCTAAGCGGCACTCCATTAATTCCTGAGTTACTGAGACAGCTGTAGGTGAAGTTCCAAACGAAGCTGCTGAGAGACCCAGTCCAGAAAGTTGGGGGACTTCTACCGTGTCCTTGTTTCCCAGTAGCGGTAGCTGGAGGCTGGGCCTGGCGTATACCCCCAACCTTGCCCCTGCTCCAGCCACATCACAGTCGTAGCATCTCCCTCCCTAGGCCCACGTAGTCTGCTGAAACCTCAGCTGACACTGGCAGGCATTTGAATTCAGAGCCCTGCTGTCTGTCTCAGGTTCCCACCCAGCCTCAAACAGGAAGTGCCGGAAGCTATTGGCCAGCACAGAACTCGGGTGCCCGTGCTGTCCTGCTGCAGCTCTACAAGGAGCACCTGGTAAGTGTCTCCAAAAAGCAAAGTCACGTGGGGTGAGGCAGACTCACAGAACTCCTGGGCAGTGTTCTTGCTGGCCACTCCATAGCAGGTTGAGGAGCCCTGGCCCTGAACCTACCCTCATTTCTACCATGGTTTCAGAATCCTGATGGTAACAGCTTCCTAACCAAGGAGGAGCTGCTGCAGAAATGTGCCCAGAAGGCCCCCAGGGTGAGCATCCAGCTGACAGTGGGCAGGGAGAGCCCACTGCAGTCTTCCTTTCTGCCTGGCAGGCAGCCTTGGTATGAAATCTGATTCAATTATGGCACATGGCTAGCGACAGAGGATGTTTAGGCTTGGGAGTACTAGGGCCTCTCTGAGGGTCTCCTTTCCTTTTCTTTTTATTTATTTTTAATTATTTGCTATGCATGTATGTCTGTGCAAGGGTGTCAGCAGTCCTGGAACTGCAGTTACACACAGTTGTGAGCTGTCACGTGGGTGCTGGGAATTGAACCAGGGTCCTCTGGAAGAGCTAACCTCTGAGCCATCCCTCTAGTCCATCTCCTTTCCTTTTCACAGGTAGTTCCTGGAAGTTCGAAACCCTGGCCTGCCCTCCGAGGCCTCCTCCACAGGAACTTGGTCCTCAGAACACATCGGCCATCCAGGTATGGGCAAGCTGCAGGGAACACAGGAGGCAGGGATGGGGCCTATGCAGGAGTTAGGACATTCGTAGGCTCTATAACGATGCAGTGAGTCTCAGACCTGGTGCTGCTGGGGCTGGGAGAGCCCGAGGTTGGAGGCCCTGGAAAGTATGAGCAGCTGGGGGAAGGACAAAAGGTCGGTTATTAGAAGCAGAGAGCTGCACAAACATTTGGTATGTCTTAAAATTTGACTGATTAAAGATTCCAGAATATTCTAGGGGGAAAGTATGGTTCTGAGTGAAATAGGGAGAAGGAGCTGTAAGACATGCATTGCAAAGCTGAGGCTGCAATCGGCAGGTCCTGAGATAGCTGGTCTGAGGGACGGAGACAGGAGGTAGGGTTACCAAGGAGGGTAATGCTCACCTAGCTTGGGGCAGCAGAGCTTACCAGGTATAAAGAAGGTAAAATTGTATCCTTCACCCCCCAGGTATGCACTGACCCCAGAGGGCTTGGAGCTGGCGCAAAGGCTGGCCAAGGCAGAAGGCCTGAGCACGCTGAACACTGGCATTGTGCCAGAGGAGCCCCATGAAGAGGAGTCAGCAGCCCCAGCGGCCACTTTGTCAGCACTGTAAGAAGGAGGAAGAAATGGGGGGAACCATGTCTCAGGAACCTGTAACTGCTGAGCCACAGTTGCCCCGTGAGTTGTGGGGACCACCCTAGCACTAAGGGTTCTGGCCTTATGTAAGCCCCCACTTTCTTACAGTGGCTCCAGTGAAGGTGGCGTCCAGCAGCCGCCGCTGGAGCTGAGGCCTGGCGAGTACAGAGTGCTGTTGTGTGTGGACACTGGAGAAACCAGAGGGTGAGTTAGCGAAGCAGCCGTGAGAACACCCGGAGGATGTGGAGGGTGGTGAGTGCTGGCTCACACTCGCCTTGGCCTTCTCTTTTGAAATATTAGGGCAGGACACAGGCCAGAAATGCTCCGAGAGTTACAGAGGCTGCATGTGCCCCACACAGTACGCAAGCTGCATGTTGGGGACTTTGTGTGGGTAGCACAGGAGACCAGGCCCAGAGACCCAGGTAAAAGGTCACAGGCAGGCATTGGAGGCTGGCCTGGGTGGGTCAGAGGAAGACAGTAAGGCTCTCTTTGACTTCTTGGCAGCGAGACCTGAGGAGTTAGTCTTGGACCACATTGTGGAACGCAAGCGGCTAGATGACCTGTGCAGCAGCATCATCGATGGCCGCTTTCGAGAGCAGAAGGTGCTTACCCTGCCCATGCCTCACTTCAGCATAGACAAAGCTACGAGCTCCAGAGGCCTCCAGTCACACCCGTTCTGAGCCCCTTTTAAGCCATGAAGGTGCAAGTAGGAACACAAGGTTATCTAGGCTGGCCTGAGAAACGTAAAGACCCCTTGAGTGCCTAACCCTAGAGATCTCATAAACAAGAGCCAAACCGCTAGGATTGGAAATGCAGAAGCTATGCCCAAGTCTTAGCAGTGCGCTCACCATAGGGTCATAGAGGTCAGTAATAGCCAAAAGAGGTCTGGAGGATATCTAATGTCCAGAGGTTCAGGACTTTCCTATAGGAGTCATAGCAAGAGCCGTTTGCTCCTCTGAGACAGATGAGGAGCCAGTAAAGATGAGACTGTAGGATCAGGATCTCCTTACAATTATATATAAATCTGTATGTCAGAGCTTAATAGTACAGATAGTTGTGAGCTGCCATGTGGGTGATGTGGGTGCTGGGAATTAAACCTAAGTCCTCTAGAATAGTGTTTTTTTTAAAAAAATATTTACTTATTTTATGGGCATTAGTGTTTTGATTGTATATATGTCTATGCAAGGGTGTTGGATCCCTTAGAACTGGAGTTACAGACAGTTGTTAGCTGCCATATGGGTGCTGGGAATTGAACCCAGGGCCTCTGGAAGGGCAGCCAGTGCTCTTAATCTCTAAGCCATCTCTCTAGTCCCATCTCCTTGCAATCTTAATGTGATATGATGGTCGGCCCAGACATGTAGGCATTTAGGCCTGACCTACCCTGCTTTTTCCTGCTTTCCCAGTTCCGCCTGAAGCGCTGTGGCCTGGGGCACCGGGTATACTTGGTGGAGGAACATGGGTCTGTCCACAACCTCAGCCTTCCTGAGAGTACATTGCTACAGGCTGTCACAAACACCCAGGTGAGCTGGAGGGCAGGGCCAGGCTGGCAGATTTTGTACTCCATGGATTAGACCAGGAACCACCTCCCATGGGTCCTCTTCTCCAGGTCATTGATGGCTTTTTTGTGAAGCGCACGATGGATATTAAGGAGTCAGCTGGCTACCTGGCCCTTCTGACAAAGGGCCTAGAAAGACTGTATCAGGTGAGCAGATGCCTCTGACAGCACTGGGCCCTCGCCTGGTGTTTGCTGGCCAAGCAAGGAAAGGTGGGTGAGATCCTAGTTACTCAGGTTTCCCACTGAGGTTTGGGAAAAGAATAGTTGGGGATTAACCCCTAAAGCCTACCCTAGCCTCAGTCCCCTCTTCTACTAGGGCCACACCCTACGTAGCCGCCCCTGGGAAACCCCAGGGGGTGCTGAATCAGGAGCAAGGCCTTCCACAGACCCTCTCTGCTCACTCCTCACTTTCAATGACTTCAATGCAGAAGCTGTCAAGAACAAGGTACTACCCTTACCTTACCTATGCTTAGGTGGCCTGGTCCTAGATCACCCCTGATCGAGGCCTATCCCAACCCCAGGCCCAGTCTGTACGAGAAGTATTTGCCCGGCAGCTGATGCAGGTGCGTGGACTAAGTGGAGAGAAGGCAGCAGCCCTGGTGGATCGATACAGCACACCAGCCAGGTACACCCCAGAGAGCCACTGGGTTCCTCTGCCCTTCCTGTGTGGAGTTCAACTTAAGCAGTGCTTCTGGAGAGAGAGCTTGGCTCTGTGTGAGAGCCTTGGAAGGTTCTGTTCCAGTGTTTCCCAGGAAGGGAGGGCAGACAGGATGGAGGAGGGTCTCTATCACCAGGATCAGGAAACTACTCTAGGCCGAACCCTCCTGCCTTAGCTCTCATGATGCTGGTCTATATAATCGGCCACTCTATGTCCCATCCCCAGTCTCCTGGCTGCCTATGATGCCTGTGCCACCCCTAAGGAGCAGGAGATGCTGTTGAGCACTATTAAGTGTGGGCGTCTGCAGAGGTAAGGGTGAGACACACCCTGGGGAGAAGACTAGGTGGCCCGAGGCACCAGGCCAACCTTCTGATTCTCTTCTTGCAGAAATCTGGGACCTGCTCTGAGCAGGACCCTGTACCAGCTATACTGCAGCCACAGCCCTCTGACCTGAGCTCCACCTGGAGACACATCCCAGACCCATCTTCACTTCTGCCAAAGATAGCCGGCCCTTTAACTGGGGTTCTTTGGGCTATAATCAAAATCTAAACGTTTGTGGTCTTAGGAGTTAAGGAAGCAATGCCAAGGTCCTCATGAAATATGTAGGAAAGGGGAGACTACACTTTGTGATCCAATGACTTTTGTTTTGTAGTAGTATTGGTGATGGAACCCACAGCCTTGTGCATGCTAGGCAATTCCTCTTCCACACAGCAATGATCTGCAGCCTTGTACAGTGTTTCTCCACCTACTTCTGAAACCCAGCTTGGCCTAGAACATGCTGTGTAACCCAGGCTGGCCTAGAATTCCCAGTCTTTCTAGGCCCACCTTCCTAGTCCTGGAATTAAAGGTGTGAACCACTATACCTGGCCCATGTGGTGGATTTTGTTTTGTTTTTTAAGACAAGGTCCTGGCTAAACATGGTTGTGTAAACAAGCACTTAACTTGTGTTAGGCTAGACCCTCTGCAAAACTAAATAGCTAGCTAGATAATGCTTTTTAGAGTTGGGCATTCCCTGGTCCGGGAGATGGAGTCAATGGGGCACTGTATCTTAAAAAGCACCATAAGTTAGGATAGAAACGTGTTCTCAGTCCAGTTGCCTCATCTTAGTGATTGGAGAACAGTAGGCTTGTCCAAACATATAGTTTGGGGTAGGGCTAGGATAGTAACCCCAGACCTCTTGGCATTGACCTGAATATGGTTTCTGGGGCCTAACATCAGCCAAGCTCTGGGTTTAGGCCTAAAGTGTCCACTCCTTAGAACTCCCTGCTCAGTTTGATTCTGAAGAATGACACTTAAGCTCTGGAACCTTCTCAGCCTGAATGCAGAGAAGACCCTTTGGGTGAAATTTGCCTGCTTCTCTCACAAGCCCAGCACCTTCCCTGGCTGAGGTTACTCACCCACCTCAGCCACTAGGACTCCTTTCTCCCTTTATTGTCCTTCAAATCATTGTCTCTAAGCAGAACAGTCATCCCTAAACCCCAGGCTCCTTAAGCTGTGGGAGGGAGAAAGAAGGGGGTCCCACCCAACCCTTCCCTGAGGGTCTCCTTCAGAAGGTGTAGGCTCCCACAAAGACGGTGAGTCTCAGCACGGAGCTGGCCCGGTAGCTCATAAGAGAGTTCATGGTGACCATCTCCAGGTCCAGCACATACTCGCGTGGTCCTGTCACTGGCCTGGCAAGGACCAGCATGGCACTGACATTGTTGATTTGCTGCAGAACACAGAGACTGTGTTAGCCTGTAAGCCAGATCCTACTCCAGCATCACCCCCTGCCCATGCCCGTGAGGCTGCCACTCCAGCTCTTACCCAGCTCTGACATTTCTCTTCCTCTCCAGTGCCCAAGCCCTGGTTCTCCCCTGACCCTACCCACTTCGATCTTCCCTCCATCTTGACTACCTGAAGACTCAAGTTTTGTGACCCAGGCTGACCCACTTCCCCCTTTCAAAGTATCCAAGTCTCTGTTTCTCTCTGTCTGATTGTTTTGATGCTGGGCAAGGAACTGAGGGCCTGAATGGTAAGCACATGTTCTGCCATGGAGCTGTACCACTAGTCCCAAAGCAAGGAGAAATAAGTTCATTGAGGCCAAACACCTCAATGCTGAAGACAGCATGAGGTCCACAGGCCCGAGGTCCTCACACCCACACCAGCAAAACTGAAGTCTCTGATCCCAGCCCAGCAGGAACTATATTTCTTGTTTTATGGATAAGGATGTCAAAGTTAGATAGGAGAAACCAATACTAGGACTCAAACCCCATTAACTAACTGCCTGTTAGAATTGCCTGGGACCCGTGTACTGGGGATGTAGAAATCTTGACTTCAAACATGAGCCCAGCTTCCTAGGACAGGACTTTGAGAGAAGAGGCAGGGCAGCTCCCACTTAAATGGCTGCAGGCACTCTATTTTAGATTATCCACGGCAATTGGGTGTGAGCGGAGAAGCACCTTACCCGAATATAGAAGTCCCCCTGTGTGTTTCCAGCACGGATCTGAAAGGCATTGTAGGCGCCAGGGTAGACAGAAGTTGCCTGGATCTGAAACACGTCCGCAGGCACACTTCGCTCGGAAGTGATGCTCATGTAGCGGTGCACAATGGATGAAGGCTGCTCCCGACACAATGGGTTGGAGACAGGGCAGAGGCAGCGGCTAGAGACCCCAAGACAGGACCAGAATGAGGGCCCATTTCCCAAATACCCACCTCCTAAAGAGGAAAACCCAAGCATATAAGGCTCTAACTCCTTTTAGGCATCAGGGGTACAGCCTGATTAAACCAGTTAGCCCCCATAGCTGTCGGGAACTGTAGTTACCGCGGGAAACTGTCGTCAGGTTGACTCACTTGTCAGACACTTGGACATAGGGCTCCACACAACGGTTGGTGTCCACGCAGCGGTAGCCCCCGTGGAAGTTCACACAAGTTTGGGCCTCAGAACACTGGTGTGCACCTGATTCACACTCGTCAATGTCTGTGCCAAGGGAGGTGAGGTTGGACTCTATCTCTGACACCAGATTCTAAAATCCTGCCCGCCCACCAGAAGCAACTGTACCTTGGCAGAGCCTCGTAGCCAACAGCTGGTAGCCTTGTGGGCAGTGACAGGAGAAGCGTCCTGGCTCATTGACACAGCGATACTGGCAGAGGTAGCTGGAGTAGCTGCACTCATCGATATCTGAGGGAGGGTGGGGATGAGGACCCTGGGCCAAAGGTAGTCCTCACAACTGAGTCCCATAGACATTTATGGAGAGAGCCCAGCCCCCCACAAAGCTGATGTGGAAGAAAAGGGATGAGATAAACCCAGTAAAGCTCAGAAGGCAGACTGGGGGTTTCAAAGGTTAGAGGGGCTGGGGATAGAACTCAGTGGTAGAGAGTACTTGCCTAACACGCTGGATGCTCTAGGTTCCATCCCAGCACAGAAAGGGAGAGGAAAAAGAAAAGAGAAAGAATAGAAGCTTGGCATGATGCTGTATGTTTATAATCCCAGCATTTGGGAGGTAAAGGCAGGAGTATTACACCAAGTTCAAAACCATCTTGTCCACACAGGAGACCAGCCAGGGTTATATAGCAAGTTCATGGCAGCCGGAGCTACGTAACAAAACCCTGACTCAAAAAAACAAACGGGTGTTTGATCACAACTCTTGGAAGGCAGAGGCAAGCAGATCTGTTTGAGGCCAGCCTGATCTACAAAAGAGACTGTGGGCCAGCCAGGGCTAGAGAGTGAGACTCTGTCCCAAAATAAGAGCAGACCTTCCAGCTTACAGGGAACCTCTTCCCCAGGACTTTAAGAATACTTAAGAAATAATGCACCAGCCCAGCATAGTGGCCCATGCCTTTGATCCCAGCACACTCAGCAGATCTCTGTAGGCTAGCCTGGTCTACATAGAGAGCTGCAGGACAGCCAGGGTTACATAAACTGTACCAAAAGACTTGGCCTAAGTCCTACTAACTAATTCTAGGAAAGGTCCATTTGCATGCCAGTCAAAGGAGTGGGTTGGACTGGAAGAGTCCTGTGGACCTAAGCTGCTCTGTCTTTTGAAAGTCCTGCGATCTACAGTCATACTACCAAGACTTCTGTTGAGTGTGCACCCCACATACAGCATACTGTCTCTTTGCTTTTGTTCCTTTCACACAGCTGACCACCAATGATGTGTTTCGTAGTAGGACATAAAATAAGTGGAGAGTATTCCGGGTAACACGGTGAGAAACCTGGAATCAAGCCCTGGCCCTATCTCATCCTTCTTTTCTGAACTGTGACAAGTCACTTCATCTCTGAAAGTGGAGAGATGAGAGTCACCATTTCCTCTGGACTTTCTGCTTGCTTTTTACAATTCTGCCGACACACCTGGAGGAATATTAGTGTCCTGTTTGCAAAAATAAGTCATCACTGACCAGATTAAATGAGACTAAGCATGTAAGTTATAAAGAAGCAGTGCTTCCCATTTTGCTGCCCAAGACTGGATGGAGCCTGTATCATGGACCCTCTCCAAAGTCCAAATAACCTGTTTACAGCAGACATATGCTCAGAAAGAGACTTGTCCTAGTGCAGGATTCCAGTGCAAGGCAGCTCAACTTCCATAAAGACTGGCACCCACACCCTTCCCTATCTCCAGCAAACTTCAGCAGGGCCTGACATACCATCCCCACCAGCAACCAGCTCAGGGTGGCGTGCATGGAGGTCTGTAGGTACAGAGAATCAGACATGGAAGCTTCAAGCAAATGGCCGTGTGACTGGAGTCGGTTCATTATGTTGCAAGCCCTGGGGACCAATGCACTATCCAGTAACACAAGTGGACTCTCACCACTGCAGGAGAAGCCATCCCGGTGCAGCTCATAGCCTTGGTTACAACGACACAGGAAGGTCCCGTAGGAGTTGAAGCAGCGTTGCTCACACGGGGCTCCCATGTCACACTCATTCACGTCTGGGGGTGCCAGAGAAAAGAGGACTGGTGAAAGCAGAGGCACTGCCCAGAGCCCCAGACTACTGGGCTCAGGAAAGAGATCCTGCCCCCATCTCACACAGCTCTACCCGGGATCCCAGAGCCTCACCCACACAAGAGCGGTTGTTAGGTCCCAACTGGAAGCCAGGCTCACACTGGCAGCGGAAAGAGCCTGGCAGGTTCACACATCGGTGCTGGCAATAGCGGTAGCGACATTCATCTATGTCTGAGATGGAGGCGGGAGGGAAAGCAGGGCACGAGTCAGGTGGGGCCTGAGCACCCATGCTCACGCCTGTCTCAGCTCCCCGCATGTAGTCTCTTGTGTCTAGTGACAAGAGGGTACCAGCAGCAGAGGACTGGGCTAAGGATGAGACATTACGTCGAGAGCTAGACCAAAGTCACAAAGCAAGAACTAGGAAAGTCACTCTCTGAACTCACCCACGCATTCGGGTCCGATTTTTCGGTAACCGTCAGGACAGGTGCATTGGTAGGAGCCAGGCAGGTTATGACAGTCTTGGCTAGGGCGACAGTCATGCAAAGCCTGGGCACACTCGTCCACATCTGTGGGAGACACCATTCAGCCCTTACCTGGAGTCCTACATGCTACTGACCATGTCAGACACCTCAGTTTGGGAGAAAGTGGCCTATACCAGACGTCATTCACATGGGCACATGGGTAGTTGGCCCCAAAACATGAACATGTAATATAGGTACCCCCCCCCAATAGTACCAAAACAGTCCACCAGAAAAAAGTACCCATCAGGTGAGCATATAAAACAAGGCCTTCTCAGGTCTGGTGGCACACACTTTTAATTCTATCACTCAGGAGGCAGAGGCAGGAGGATCCCTGTGAGTTCCAAGTCAGCCAGAACTACAGAGTTCCAACCCAGCTAGAGCTACATAGTGAGACCTTGTCTTTAAAACAAACAAACAAACAA